GCCCGGTTGCGCCTCTTTAATACCGGCACTGCTTGAAGGCTTGCTCGTCTGTCAAAAATAGAAATAAAATAAAGAAATGCCTCCCCAAAAAAAACAATGTTTACAAAAATCATGCTCGTAGAGATAATATTTTTATATCGAAACATGCTTTCATTTGGTAGCTATAATTCATCGATCTAATTTTAAATCAGTATATATTTCGATTGTTTAAGTATTTAGCTGAGACCAGTAGCAGATTCAGAATTTAATTTGGGAGACCTTAAGCCTGAAATACTTTTATTTGTATATAATGATAATTACTTAAAAATTAACAGACAAACTACATATTGAAGTCCAATAAAAATAATACTTCTAAAGATGATTTTAAATGTGTATATATATATATATATATATATATATTTTTTTTTTTTATTTTTTTTTTTTATTTTAAATAAACATCTATCATAGTGTCATTGACTTTTGAATTTTAATATATTATTCCTACTAATATTTATATTCATTGCTCAGACAATGGTGTATATTCAGTATCGATACTATAAAACAAATAAACAAAAAAATCTGATGAAAAATAACAGAGTTACAGAATTATGACCAAAAAGATCCAGTTTGGGTCCACTGTGCGTCGATTGCTGGTAGCTAACGTCCGGAGCGGCAACGTGCTTACTGCAAAGGGTTAATACCTTTACACTTTGTAACAGACTCAAATAATTTAACATTAACTAGATGGTATTTAGCTGAAGAGAACCTGTTAGATGTGCTTTCGAATTGGACAATTCTTAGCAATTTTCAAAAAAAAGATCTCTTGTGAAAATTTTGCTGTCCCCCACAGTTCAATTCCGTATGTCCACATAGGTTTCAGGATTGTCTTGAAGATAAGTAATTTGTTTTCAATTGAAAGTTTAGATTTTCTGTTCAGTTGTCTGTATAGTTGGCCGTATCGTTGGTTGAGTTTTTGCCTTTTGAGTATATGGTTATCGATCCATGTTAGTCTTCGGTCTAAAAGAAAGCCAAGATACCGTACTGTGTCTGAGGAAGGAAGCCGCATGGAATTAAATTGTACTGGTGGACAGTAGTTGCGTTGGAATGTAAAGGTAATATGTTGACATTTGGATTCAGTCACTTTAATACGCCAGCTATTACACCAGTGCTCAATTAAGGATAGGTGTCTTTGCAAATTTGAGGAGGCTATTTAGGGATCAGCGTTGGATGATAAAATTGCGGTGTCATCAGCTCATGTTGCAAGGAAGGTATTGGGATGAACAGGGATGTCAGCGGTAAAGAGGATGTAAAGCACGGGACCCAAGACGCTGCCTTTGGGAACACCGCTAAAGTCGGTGATACTTAATTTTAAAAAAACTATATTCAAAACAACATAAAAAAAACAAACTTAATATTCCATCAATCTATTGATGTAAAAGCAATATTTTGTGTTGAATAAATGAAATAAAATTAGATCAATGATAAAAAATAAAATATAATATCAACGGTAGGCAATAGAAACCTCGTGACATAGGGGACTGAATATCCCAGAATAAAATTTACCATTCTTCTTCTTCTTCTGCTTACCTCCACTTTGTGAAATTTTACAATGGAAAAACAAAAAAATATGTCAGGAAGATCGTCGGAGAGTCGGTCGGAACAAACATCAAATAATTCACAATTTTACTCAATGTTGAGATTTCAACTGAAATTTTATGCCATCTAAAGGGTGAAGTAGCTGCAAAAGCCAGAAAGCTCTTGTTGAAAAAAAATTGTTTAAAAAAATGTTTTGAGTGATTGATTTCATATGGTTTTTACTGCCAGATACAATTCTTTATTTACACAATAGATCTATATATGTATTTTCAAATCTTTCTTTGTATACGCCGCTCTGGGAGTGGAGTTAAGTGATTTAAATTATTTATAGATGGTAATTGGAAGTATATATATATATATATATATATATATATATATAATTTAATAATAATATAAATAATTTAAATCACTTAACTCCACTCCCAGAGCGGCGTATACAAAGAAAGATTTGAAAATTCATATATAGATCAATTCTGTAATTTGTATCTGTATATATATATATATATATATAGAATAGATGAAAAAGAAAACCAAAGAAAACCTGAAACCCCAAGAAACCATGAGAAAAGTTATGATAAAAAGAAATTTTTTGCTTTGGTATAACTCAAGAAGTTCACATTTATTATTTGTTTGGAATCATTTGAAAATTAATAATATTGTTTTCAGAAAAACAACAACATTGGAATCTAATAATTATTAACAAATTTACGGCATAATATACAATAGTTGCTCATGTTTCCATGAAAACCCGTTAAATTATAGTAGTTTTTCTACCACTACTTGATAAAATATCGTAGGTGGGTAGAATTTTAAGTGCACATTTTCCAATAAATGTTTATTAGTTTCCAACTGCTACTATGTGTAGAAAGTGTTATAATCGGATAGAATTTTAAACTGGTATCTTTGCTTTTAAAATTGTTTACACAGTTCATGTTTTTATTAATAATTTTTCTAATAAATTCATTATTTTATGACAACTTTAAATCTCTTAGAATATCCAAGATAGTAATTTTAAAGATAAACATTCAATTGTATATAATGCTTAAATTTATAGTGGTTTAGATTTTTTATGGAATTAGAGGGAAAGTTAGTTGAGTAGAAACACCAGATATTTTTGAGACCTGTTTAGTATGATTTGTATACATTTAAACGAATATCATTCTGGGCATTTTACAATATGATTAAAATTTTGAATTACCGGTAAAATGAAAAATAAGTATCTGAATATTTATATAAATCAATAATAATTTTATAATTGTGATGATTAATATAATATAATTATATTATTATAATTATAATTAATTAATATAAATTTATTTATAAATATTATTGGATTAGTGATGTAGTGGCGGATCCAGGAATTTTTTGACGGGGCTGTGCACTTGTGAAAATGTGAATTTAATACACTAAAGGTAAACACACACTCATATATATATTATATATATATATATATATATATATATATATATATATATATATATATATATATATTCATATGTGTATGTATTTTACACACATATATATATATATACTTAAATATGTATTTTACTTTTGTTATTATGTTATTTTGTTTCGTCTAGTATTTTTTTATAAAATGGCGGTCTAAATTCCTTAGCCGAAAAATTAACGTCTAAGGACCTCAATAACGACTTTTATAAATATATGTTTCCAAATATTCAATTAAAAATAATTTATAAGTTCACAAATTTACAGACGATCACAGCATTCTAGCATCTACTTTCAGCAACAATATTAAGATATTTCGCCAATAAATAAAGAATTTTTAGTGTAAATATTCAGATTTTTTTCGTTATTCGTTAGTTTTGAGTAAGAAAACTGAATAAAAATTAATTATTTAATACAATTTATTTTTCAATTAAAATAAGAACAATACAAGTGAAGATTGTACAAAATATTTTCTCACTTTTCAGGGGGGCATCCCCCGTACCTCCCTTTTCTGGATCGACTAGTAAGTGATATTAATAGGAAAAGCCATAAATATTTATCAAAATCTTTTTCAACTTGCTAGTTTTCCATATTTTCGCAATTTAATCGGATTCGGAAAAAAATCCAGCCAATACTGTAGAATAAAGAAGATTATTAATTGGAAACCACCGAAGGATTTCAATCCTTTACGTTCCTCAAGAGGAGAATGGGGTAATGCTATCAATATAAAATCATGTAACAAATTTATATTTTTTAAATTTATTCTTTTACTGTATTATTCTATAGAAAACGCATTGAAAAAGAGACAAATCAAATATAAGAAAACGTTTCCTTAAGAATTATCCATCCGTCATCCCCTCATCTGTAAATTACATACATATTTATTTAATTTTGTTTCTTCTGATAATGCATTTATTTATCCAAATTTTCATCTATTTCGCAGGAAGTTACATTACTTTTCCATTTCCTCAAGATGAACGCCATCCTTCCATAATGTGTATCATCACTTTTATCTTTTCATTTTTTGTTTTTATTAAGTACAAAAGTATGTTTTTGTATGGTGGGAAACTTAACTTCAACCAAGGTGGTTAGAGCAGGCCCGATGAAAGGGTAGGGACAGCCGCGGCAATATATGTAATATTACATATATTATATTATAGTTATGTTTATATCTTTACATAATATTTTTTTTTTCATACTTTGTAGAACGCTTTGTATGAGTTTTAGTGGTACAATTAATATTTGAAGGGGGCCGGAGAAAATTATCCCTGGGTCTTTTGGTTTCTCTCCGCGGGCCTGGTCAGAGGACCATCCCCCTGTATTTCAGAATGTTTTTACTCTTTTAATTATCAAAGAATTAAATCGATTGTATAAAAATAGCCACAGCACACACATAATACACATATATTTTGACGAAAAATAATTAACTTAATATTATGGTTAAATTTATTAAGCTATAGTACTGAAATGCCCATTTAAGAAGGTGATTATTAAAGAAAATAGAAGTTTTATTATGGTTATAAATCGCTTGAAACGCAAACGGTAATTATAAATTAAGAAATAGCCATTGTAAATGGCTGTGTAAATTTTTTGTGTTAAATATGGTATTAAAAGAGTAATAATTAATAAACTGTGACTTTGATGACAGGATTATGTCATAGTAAATTTAATAATTAAATTAATAAGTAATTCATTTTTATTAGTTTGAATTCTATGGAAAATTGTTTTTTTTTTATTTATATATGACTATGGGAATTAATTGCTCTAATTGTATGGATAAACTATTAATAAGTGCAAGCAAAACATTATTAATTTTTATTGGCTTGTAAACATCAACAGAAAGATGCTTATACTAAATAAATATTTTAATTAATTACAAATATGAGTTGAGGCAGATCGGGGAGGCGGGTGGCGCACCCTGGTCTATATAAAGCTCCGCTGCTCCAGCCTCCGGCCAGTCACTTGCTGAGTGTCGTGGAGTAAGTGTCTGTTGTTGACGGTTCAAATGGATTCGTATTTTAAGGAAGCTGATTTATTTGATGTATTTAAGTCGGGCAGATCTTCTGAATCAGGTAGGCGACTCGATTTCCATTGTAATATTTATAGATTAATTCTCTCGTTTAATCTTTTGTTGTTTATTAACAATAACGTCTCCCATGAACGGCAAAATGATTCTGAAGCCGAAAGAGTGTTATAGCTCCATTTTCATTTTCATTGTTGAATATATTTATTTATTCACTTCTCTTCTTGAAGTTTCATCTTTTATGGTCTTTTTACGGCTTCGTTTATTTCTAACTGTTACCGTTTCAAATCGCTGACATATATTCCGATGGGATCGTCCCTGTTTTCTGTTCCAAAGCGTATTTGAAATATTCTGAGCCAATACAAGACTTTACGGTGGTTTCCTTTGTCTTTACAGATGACAGCCAACGTCTTGTGATAGCTGAAGAATACGAAGATTCTGGAGGTTCTGAGAGCAACGAAAGTTTGCAAGATAATACAGAAAAAAGATACACTTACGAAGAATACAAGAAGATATGCGTTCGAAATTTCATTTTGAAAAAACTGACATACTTCAAACTCAAACGTCTTATGGCGTTATATCAAACGTAAGTCATTTTTATTCTTTTTGATTACCCTATTCAGTATATTTATTCAGTATTTCCCTAATTTAACATTAAAATGAGTTTAATTTGATTTAAACAAGTTTCTCTTTAATATATATATATTTATTAAAAGAAAATAAATGAGACTAACTAAATGCAAATGAACATATATTTGAGTGAAATAAAATCTAGGAAGATTTTATTTCACTGTAAGTTTCTACCTTAATCATTTTAAGACTGAATTAGTCATTGGTGAATCCTGAAGTAATCTTTGGTAGGTTTATCAAAGTCACCACATAATTTGAGACCACATTATCTTGTCTATGGTAGTAAGTAACTTTAAGGTACTACTGTGCAAGTATCAGTCCACTTTATTGAGTGACAAAAGATCTGATCATCACACCATTAGATGGAATCCCTAGGTTGGCCAAAAGGACCCGTTGGGGGTTTGTTAATCCCTTCCGAGCGAGCGAATCGAGTGGAAGTCGAATGCAGTGATGTCATTAAAGCTAATTAACGCCATGATTTTAACTGAAAAAGACCTGGGGCGGGATGGCTGAGCGGAATAATGCGTGTGAAAAACACGCGTTGCTCGCCAACTAACCACATGATAAACCGAAGTTATAAGTTACAAAACAATCACGATTTCGCGTCCCGTTGCTGAGAGGGCTTTTAAACTCTGGCCCCGTCCTCTCTCCTGGTTCGGGAAACTCCTCGTAAAGCCTATAAGGCCAGGTAGGGATGGACAAATGAATAAAATTAAAATAAAAAGGACCAGTCGGAAGTTTGCATAAATGAAGGGAGGCTATACAGCACACTTTAACTGAACAAATTGACAATCTTCGGCCATTTCAGGAATCCCATTTATGGCGTTATCATGGGGTCTTGGTACACTCCTCTAAGTGGATTGAAATTTGAATAGTTGTGCCCTTATTTATTTTATTTATTTAAGGGATGGTAATTTAATCATTCTTATTAAAGAGTATTAGTACCAAGAGATACATTTTAAATAGCCGTATTTATTTATTTTTCATTCAATGATAATTTTGAGAGGATATTTACTCTTTTACTCCTCTCGTGGATGCACTATTGCATTCAGTTGATAATTAAGATTCTATCAATGTATATTTCTCATAGATGGTTTACGATTTAGCTTATTTTATAATTGTTTCATTAATTAACTAAACTTCATTCGTTAAAAATATATTACAGGATATAGTCTCAACAATTTAGTGCGAACATATTGCATATTACACGTTTCCTACTGCAAAATTTATTTGTTCGATTTTTTTACTTTACAACGTAGCTCTACAGTCCAAGGTTCCCAGATAACTTGTCAACAGTCCTCTCTGCACAACGCTCTCCTCCTCCAGTTCCTTGTACCGAGACTTTCCAGGTCTTTTACACATCTTGAATCCAATATCTCTGAGGTCGTCCTCTCCTTCTGGTACCTTATATATCTTTCTTTCTCTTTTTGCAGAATTTCTTTTTGCATTCTTGATTCATTCTTCCTTGCTACGTTACCCAACCATTCAATTCTCCTTGCTAATGAAGCGAACAATGTCACAACATCCATATAGCTTATATGGATAATATGAATAATATAATATAGTTCGCTGTTCTTCCGGATTCTCCATTCATCCTCTTTCAAACAGATACATAAATTTTACGGTGATTTTCCTCTCAACGATTTTCAAAGTAACAGTTTGTTCAATTATTAATCATTAAAAGCAGTAATAGTGTTCTAAAAAAATTAAAATAAACAATTTCTTCAATTTTATTTTACCATTGGTTAGAAAATAAATGAAAATGTTACTCGGTTTAAAGCTGTAATGTTGTAAACTTTTATTGTATAATTTCTATCATTATGACGTCAATTGAGGCATACTTTAATGGGCTTCCTGTTAAATGCATCTCAAAGGCTTGTGGTATTTAAAAAATATATTAAATATTCTCAAAAATATTTAATTTCAATATATTACACCTTATTTGTGTTTACACATTATATTTATTTATAGGTTATGCTTATGAACGGAAATAACTCTCGTTCATAATTATATGTTCCTTTGTAATTTAAATAATATTTGATACCAACTAGGAACTAATTGTATCATGCATGTAATATAATTGTAATGTGATTGAATGCTCGTTTTGCAATAAATTAATGGGAGTAGTTCGTAATTACGGCTGCATAGATTTATATCATTAAACGACTACTTTTATCAAAAGTATCACTACTTGCAGTTATTACGCTTTAATAAACATTTTGATAAATATATTCATCATAAAAATGGTTATGCAAAAAAAAAAAAAAGAATAGGATTAACCGAAAATCGATTATTTTCATCTCGGTTAACCGATTTTTCAGTTAAGTTAAAATCCTGGTTATACCCGATTATTTTTTTAATAATCCAATAAACTATGGTTCGCCAAGTGGTCGAAATTTGATCATAATCGTTATTCATCATTTGAGGAAAACATAAATGAATTTTCATGTTTCCAACATTTCTTTTCTACTTTTACATATTCGAACTTTCACTTTAATATGTAAATACAAAGAATACAGTACAGTACCATATGGCTACTTTTTGAGTTATAGCCAATAAAAATGTGAATCCATTCTAACTTATTTTTAAAAAAGTACAACCGTACATACGTAAAATACCCAGTTTGCTCACTCGGTGAATATTGAGAGAGAAAAAAAATTATTTTCCGATTGCTATGAAAATGAATTTCTGGGTTTGTACAGGTGCGAAATATCAATATTAATTTGTTTTTTCCTTAAAAAACATATTTAAAACCATTTTCCTTCGGTCAGTTTAAATTGTTTAATTTCAATATTTTACTTATATTATATCTATATTTTAAACATAAATTACTCTGAATAGAGGTCTTCTAAAAAATAAAAAAGGAAGAAAATTTAATAAAAACGCCGTACCGGACATGATTCTTTTCGATTTCAATATTGTTTCATGAGTATTCTCATAGGTTTTCTAAACGTTGCGTACTTTTTGAGTTATTCGCGAATAAAATTCTGAACCCATCTTGTTTTTGTAGTCTCTTTTCTTAACATAAATTAAAAAGGCTTCAGGGAAAAGACTTTATCCAAGTCTCTAAGACTAAAGCTCGTCAATAGCTACTAAACAAAAAAGAAAATCGGTTGAGAATCATTGAAGAAAAAAGTAATGAACTGTTTTGCCTTTGCCTATTTATATAATATGTCATATATTGTTTAATACAAATGTATATGTTCGTTTGTTCAAAATCTTAATTTATGAAAAGTCTTCACCAATTGCTTTGAAATGTTGGCTTTGTAACGTTGCAAATATATTTGATTAGTTTTAATGACTTACAGATATTAAATGTTGCATTGCGTTGGAATTGAACTGTACCGTTTACCATAGCGTTCATTTCCTATGAAATATTTCATTCCTATGAATTATGGAATAGTACGATATGGGTAAGGAATTTTAATATCACTTCTTCAGATGATAATCTTGATTACTTCAGTAAATGTAAAGTTTTCGATTTAATAAAAAACAAAAAAAGAGAAAATAATATTGCCGAAGAAAAAGTGCCAAATGTTTGAAACGCTATATCTCTTCAGCAAATCGTCCGATTTCAATGAATTATTTTTTCATTTTGTAGCCAATTCAGGAAGATTTCAAATAAATACGGGCATAATTTAAGATATGTACAAGGTGTCCCGTAAGTAGAGGGAAATATTAAATAGGTTGATAGGAGACATCGAGATCTACAAAAAAGTTCTTATAAACAATTGTCCAATTTGCTGCAGTAAAGTAGGAAATTTAAGATTTGTTTTTTTAAGCGAGTCACATTTTTTGTTGAATAGGATGCGATAACTTAAAAAATAAGTAATTAAGCATTTCTCCATTGTAAACTTGATAAAATTTACATTAAAAGGGAGCAGAGTTTGTCATTAAAACTATTTAAAGAGGACTATTGAGCGAACAAACACAGCTAACTTTTGTTGAAAAAAAAAGTCAAATTATTTGTGATTTTTTTTATCACCCCTCAACTGCACTACTTTAAGTATATAAAAACTTTAAGTATATACTAATTTAGTTGAGGTTTATAAGGAAAAATTATGAGATCCACCTCAACTCGTGATTCCGATCCAGTCACCTAAACGTACCCTTGTTTCAGCAAAAATGACTACAATTAATTGTTGCAAAGCTTTTATTTATTGTTTTTCCGTGTTATGTGACGTATTGTAATAAACATAATTGTCTAAAAACACATTTTATTTATAAAAATAAAAAATGTAAAAATGTAGATTTGAAATATTTTTATGTAAGGTGGTTATGTAAATGTGTTTACACATGTATAGGTTACTGGATAGAAAATCGTATCATTTCTTTACACAAGTTAAGGCGAATCTCATAATTTTTCCTAATAAACCACAACTTAATTAATATGGACTTAAAGCTTATTAAACGAGGAAGGAGTAAAGTTTTTTTTTTTCTAAAACTGGAGTAAATGTAATACACTTGAAGAGTAATAAAAATAAGTCACAAATATTTTATGTCTTTTTTTAAAACGGGACGTACCTGTATTTGTCCGCTCAATAGTCCTGTTTAAGTAGTTATAACAATTACAAACTCTGGTAATGCAATATATATAAAAAATAAAAACACTCCTAAATTTTATTGCAACGTTGTATCAAAATTTCAAAGTATTAAGTAAAGATAGAAGCGGTTTTCAACAATTTAACATTTACATTTTTATTTATTTTCACTGTTTAGATTTTTTTTTACTGATGCCATTAAAGCTCGTCAATAGCAACAGAAAAAGAACAAAGAAAATCGATTGAGGAACAGTGGAGAAAAAAATTACTGAACTGTTTGGCTTTGTTTATTTATAAAATGATAATTGGCTTGGAAAAAAATATCAAAATAATAATAATAATATTAAGAATTTACTAAATAATAAGTGTTATTGTAATTTAATATAACTGGGTCGAGATTTTTTTTTTCCACCCA